GATCTGGGAGGGCCCTCACCCAATGACTGGGGTCCTTATAAGGAAGGGGAAATTTGGACACAGACACATGTGCCTGTGGAGGCAGAAACGAAGGTGATGCGTCTGTAAGCCAGGAACCCCAAGGATTGCTGGAAGCTACCAGAAGCTCGGAGAGACACACGGACCAAGTTCTCCCTCAGAGCCTCAAGGAGGAATCCACTCTGTGCACAACTTGCCCTCAGACTGCTGACCTCCAGACTGTGAGAAAATATATTCTGTTGTTTTAAATCACCTAAATTGTGGCAATTTATACAGGAAACTAATACAGCAGGTGAGTACTTTTTCTTTAACGATATGATCGAGCTTGTGCAGGACCTGAAGGTGGGTGTCCCAGCTCTGTGGGAGGACCAGCCAGGCTTCTGATCTGGGTGTCCACGGAGAGCTGAGGAATCTGTGACAACATCCAGACCTAGGTGGGTCTGCAGCCATGCCCACTGCTGGGCAAGTTCCCCACTGCAAGTTCACCCCTCCTGGGGTGGGATAAAAATCAGCCCTTGCCTGAAAGAGGGCTTGGAGAATGTACAGGAATTCACCAAGCAATTAAAGACAAAGGTATGGGAATGTGAGCTGTGTTCAGTGTAAGAACTCTGAGTAGATCTATTTGTGTTAGAGCATACATTGCAAGGTATCAGAAATGGAAATATAAAATTAAATATATTATAAGGAATGTACTTTTCAATTTATTAAGAGCTAGATAAATATTAGGTATTTCTATGATTATTCACCTTAAAGGGTCATTGGGAAGACCATTAAGTATATAGATCAAAAGCTTATTGTCATATCCTGGAAAATAATTATAAAATGTTACATCATAATGTGGTATTTTGGATTTGGCCAGCTTCATTGCCAGACCCTAGAGATTTGGAAAGAAACCTCAACCTCTCTATATTAAATACGTAGGTGAGTTTCCATGAGGTTCTACTGAACGTGGTTTCCAGGTGTCCCTTCTGCACCTCTAGTGACCATATGAATGAAACCTACACCTTTTAGAGACAAATATTGACCCAGATGGATGGGATCCAGCTAGGCTATAAGTGGTTAGAAGCACTACAGACATTTATGAGTTTTTACTATTGTATTTTAATTTATTTTTAATATAGTGTCCAAAGGTATAAAAAAAATTTATGCACTTTTAAGTTTTTACACATTTAATAAAGAACTTAGGAATTATAAAGATATGTAAAAATGGCAAGCCTTGAGAAACCACAGAATAAACGTTAATAAAAAATTTGAGGAGATACCACATGAAGGTAAGACTGAATGAAACTATGATGGTGAAGATGGACAAACACACTGTGGAAGAACAAAGGACGTCAGGACAAGAACCATGTGCTGAAGGACTGGTTACACAGAAGTAGGGATTGCAAACATCTGAGGAGCAAGCCAGCGACGATAAAGTTACAATGCTGAGCACTATCATGTAGGTTAAAGGTCAGATCCACGCCAGATAAACTTGCCCCAAACTATCATAACGGAAGGTGCACAGAAGAGTGGGAAGAATGACCAAGTTTATGCGGGGCTGTTGCAATTTCCTGACTTTAGAGCTGCTAATATGATACCCAGCCCTATGTCCTGATGTGGGGTTTGCTCTGATGGGGCATCTGTTTTGACTGGCTGGTGCCCACCTTGTTCTAGTTATAAATCCTTTGACTATTATTTCTGCCTATGCCCAAACTGAACAACTTGGAGTTTCTGTGCAATGGCTAGAACATCTGTGAATGCGGGAGAATTCAGAGATCTCCCTTTCCCTCATTCAAAGAATCCTCTAGTGCCACTACATTTTCCCTCAAACTAAAAAGAAAGGAATTTTTTTGGTTCTAGTTGCATCTTAAAGGCTAAGTTAATCTGCATAATAAAGTACTGCAGGCAAGGGATGGGGTAGGGGGTCTCTAAGGTTGGGGTGGAGAAGTTACTTTGGCCAGAAGTTTACAAGAATCTCCCAGAGTAGCTTTGGGCTGTGAAGGAAATTAACAGGAGAGGACATTTAGTAAATGCTGCTGTGGGTTACGCATTTGGGTCTACTTTAATATCTACTGAGAAACTCAGGGAAATAAAATTATTTAAAAGTATTTTTAAATAATTAAAAATACTTAAAAATAATTATTAAGTTGGACTTAAATGGGGGTGTCCGCTCAGCTGACTGAGCCGCGGGCTGCAGGACTCCCCCATGTGACCGCAGACCCCCTAGTGCTCTTTGCTCATGTGGTGGCCCCACTTCTGGATGGCTTCTCACAGTCTGAATCCTGCCCACACATTTATTTGAAATGCTATCTCATCTGTGAAGCTTCTCTCTAGTCTTCCCCCTCAACAAAAACCCCAAGCAATCAAACTGAGTCACTGTCATCGTTTCTTTTTGGAAATCTCATAACCCTCGCTGTTTCCACTCTCACGACAGTTACCGCCACCACTGGGGGTGTAAACCCGGGGGCTGCTCAGCCTCCTCTCCTGTGGGCTGAGGGTTGGGCTGTCAGGCCTGTGAAGTCAGAGGTCCACACGTTGGCTCCTGATGTCATCTTATCCATTTTATCCACTTGTAAATTTGTCTTTCTAGGAAATCCCTTTTAAAAAATGCAGTTTTAATGGGGCTTTAGGGGACAGGTTAATTTGGGCATTTGTTAGTTAAGCCACAAAATAGGTTATTACGGAAGAAGTTTTAAAGAGCGATTTTGCAGAGAAGAGGGCTGCTTTATGCTTACTTTAAGATGGGGCAACAGGCTAAATACCTGAATCGGTTCTACATGATTCAGAAAACCCTGGAGTGAGACTCCATGATCAAGTGAGCCTTCAGTTTCTTAATGCAGGGGAGCAGGAACGGAGATGAGATTGCGTGACCCCAGAGATCTAGTCCTACCCTTTAAATTCCATGAATCTGTTGATTGCTGGTAGAGACTCTGGCATCTGTGGGGAGGGACGGGCCCTCCCTTCTGATGGCAAGATCAGGACGGTCTCTGGGCTGGGCCCGTGTGTCTGACCTGACAGGCTGTGCTTGCCCTTTGCTTTCCTCGAAGAGGACATCAGAGAAGAGCCATCTCTTCACACTAAACATTCACAGACCACAATACAAGCAGTCACATGAATTGAAAATGTCCCCAAACTAGCAAGGACATAAACATAAAAAGAAATGTTATTCCCACTAAGGATGGAATGCCAGCAGGCAGACTGGAAATTTGCACACGAACAACTGTTCAGTGATCTCCAAACACACTGTCCATATGGCTGCCCAACGTGGACGCCACGGTTACACCTGTCTTTTGGGACCTTCCCTGCCTGAATCCTGGGCCACAGATCTCCAGGGAGAGCCTGCTCGATGCCATCCCGGGGCGGACCTCTGGAAACAACAACAAAAGGCTGCCAGTTGATAGGACAAGGCCACGGAGACTAAACTGTGGTTGGAGAACATCCCTCGGGACTTGGCGAGCTCCCGATCTCCAAAGAGAAACAGCAGAAGGATGTCACCAATGAAGATGCTGGACTGTGTGAAAGGTCACCATGTGCAGCAAGTACTAGTGAGTCGGGACCAATCCAAGAGTAAGAAAGCCATTGTTACCACCCAGACCAGAGATGCCGCAGGCCCAGCTCAAAATCTGCCTCACATATAAACAGTTTCCAGCAAATGTTATCCGGCTTCTTTCAAGGATCTTTCCTGACGGAGGGTCTATCACCTTCCTCACGTAACCATTCTTGTCCGGAATGTTCTTCTGTCAGTCCCCTTCAGTTTTCCCTTTTGCATTTTATCATGACAGTCCTATGTTTTAAAGCCACTTCCTCCTTGAGCTAAGATTTCAGATCTCTGATTCCGCAGCTTCTGTCAGGCTGTTGTCTCTGGCTGGCAGTGGGTCTGCTTGCCCTGTAAGTCTCTATGTATTTCCAAGTTGTAATTTCACTAGGACCCTGACCTGGGGCCTAGGAATCCAGAGCCCTGGATGCTGGTCCTCCGTGCATCCCAGACTCACCTGGGGCTGGGGAGGCACCTCACTTCCCATCAGGCTTGTCACTTGGCAGACAAGGTGGGTGGATGAGCTCTCAGTTCTTCCTTCTGCAGCAGCCGTCCTACGACTTCAGAGGCTTGGTGGTCTGTCTCCAGTTGGTAATCTTCGAGGGGACGAGGGACTCCTGGTGCATCTGATGCAACCCCTTTCCTCCCCATTGTCTTAGAAGAATGTCTGGGCTGAGGTTGTGGTGGCCAGTGGCCGCATCTTTCTTTCTGTGGCTCTTCAAGATTCCAGGTGATGCTGGGAAAAGCAGGTGAGATCGCACACTGGCAAACAGTTAGCAAAGGCCAGCAGGGATCCCACTCTAAGAAAGCCTTTCCTCTCCATCCGTGGCTTGTAGGGTTGAGTTACTCCAGGTCCCAGCTGGTCTCCACTTGGGGCCTACTTTGAGCTGATCTCAGTAGCTCTTCTTTGGGACAGATTTTTGTAATGACCGTATTTACTATTACTTACGTCTCATGGGTTCACATCTTATCTTTTCAAGATGTGAGGACAGGATGCAAAGATACAGCTTTAGGTATGCTACTGGAGTGATGAAGAACTTTCTGAAGTTTGGGATAGATTATCCATGGATTGGGTAATAGGAAAATGATTTTTTTTCCTGTTGAGACGTCTTTTATATAAGCTTAATCTTGAAATATCCTTAAGATGTTGATCTTTGAAATCAGACGGCCTAAGTTCATCAGTGTGTAAGATCCCTGCCCCAACCACCTTGAGGGACATTTTAAAAATGGGCAATGTAGCCAGACTTTGGGAAAAACTGTGCAGCATACGAACACTCTGATAAGCTGCCACCCGTTGCGCAATGTGAAAGCCCCTACAGCTCCCACTAGCCTGGTCCCGTGAGCCAGCGTCATCAACCGGGCAGCATCATTACCTCCTCCCCTGGCGGCCGCCTCCCCTCCTGCGCGTGTGTCCACAGACCCCAGCACTGACTCAGAGACGGGCCTGGACCGGGTGGGGACCTACCTTCACACCTGAGCAGGAAGAAGTCCGAGCTGAGGCTGAAGGATGCGCTGAAGTAGGTGCAGTCGCCCACCAGGTCGCAAGACAGGCACAGCCTGTTGAAGCTGTCCACCGTGCTAGCGCTGGTGCACAGAGAGCAGGGCATGAGCCACGGCAGCTGGGCACGGGCAGCGGTGCGGGCCCAGGGCCCCCGTGGCAATGCAGGCCAGCTGCTCTCTCTTCCCCCAGATGTGCTCTGGGGCACCCGGTGCTGGGCCTTCCTCCTGGGTCTGCCTGCCGGGTGCGCCTGAAGGTCAGCTATCCTACCTCTCTGGGCTGGCCGGTCCCCTCGGCTTGGAAGAGCTCTAGGCACCTCTGCTTTATGGAGGGGTGTGTACTGGGTCTCTATGCTTTTATTTCTGCCCCAGCACATCCCTGATTTGAGGACAGGGTAAGGTCCTACTGGTATCCAAGCCTCTTGTCCTCTGAGTGGGTGGTTCGCTGTTTGGCATGTCTCCCGTATCTTAGCATCCCCCCCGGGCATTCCCCCTAACACTGCCGTAGGACAAGGCAGGGACTCCGAAACCGTGGGCCACACTGCGCACTGGCTGCTCCCCAGGCCAGTCCTGCCAGCAGGGTGACCCGCTGCGAGCACCTTCCCAGTCAACCAGCTAGAACAGTAGGAGGCTGGGGCCGCCCTGACCAAGTGCATTTCATGTCAGAAGGCCTAAAATGTGTTTCTATAAAAGGACGGATACCCAGGAATTGTTTCATCGGCCTGGAGGTTCTTGCCCGAGCTCTTCGCAGGGGACGGGGCCGCCTCACTGTGGTGCTGGTATGAAGCCTGCCTACAGCAGTGGGGGGAGTGAGTGGGGGGGGTTTGCAGTCGGCCCGCCCGCCTCTACAGTGTGTTGGCAGGACCGCCCGAGTCACCACGCACCGTGTGGCCCCGTGAAGCCTGTAGGGAGGCCAGCCTGTGGCCACACAGACTTGCCACTTTTCTCCCCCTGCTAAGACTCCCTTATTACTGGTCTTTTATGCCGTCAGCGTGTGGGCCTGGGGACAGGAGGGGACACAGCTGTCCACCTCATGGGCTTCTCCAAGGTCCAGCAGTTGGGGGGCAGAGAAGGCACTGCCTCAGCCCAGACTGTGGGCTGCCCACCTGGGCCTCAGTGTGCACAGAACAGTGCCTCCGGAGGGGCTGATGTGCCCGGAGGCAGCCACCAGCCACCACTCTCCTCCTATCTGGAAACACGGAGAAGGTAAAAGCCTGACCCGTGTCCACCTCTGCTTGTCCCACTTAGACCTGATCCCTTCTCCAGTGAGAGCAGCAATGGGGCAGATGGCAGCATTTAATGCCGGACAGGGACCGACACTGGGAAAATCCGGTCCTTGTCTGGGGCCCAGAGGCCTCCCTCCTCCGCCTGCCTTGAGACAGCAGACCCTGACCCGCGTCACAGAGCAGGCTGGCCGTGACGTGGGGACCTCGCCCGCAAAGCCCCCACGTGCCCCCAAAGCAGACTCTCCTTCCTGTAGACACCAGGGAGAGTGAGGCCTGCAGACGAGTACTTCTGGAGGAAGGGGAGTGTTACAGCCTGCGGGTGTCAGGAGGAGGAAGTGACCCACGGGGACTCAGCTGGACTAGACGTCTGCCTGGGGGAGACAGCGCTGGGGGCGGGCAGGGCCTGCGTACCTGTAGAGCTGCCGTCTCCGGGGCAGGTCTTCCGTGCTGAGGAAGTAGCTGCAAAGATGAGCAGGTGCACGGGTCAGCTGGGGCCGGTCTGCGTGCCGCACGCCACACCTCAGGGACCTCTGAGGCAGCGACACGTCTCCAGCTGGGGTCCAGCTATGAGGGCGGGTGGGGCCGGAGAGAGCCACACGGCCAGGGGCAGAGGGACAGGCTGGGGTGGCCCTCTGCGGGCCCTGGGACCTCCCGCATTGGCCTGCGGGTTCTGTGTAGGGCCGGGAAGATGGTGGTGTACACCTGGATTCGGGCGTGGAAATTTCCTTACAAGGCCATTAGCCTTCTGCAGGGTAAGCACCCGAGAACACAGCACAAGCCCAGACACAAGGCCTGGGTCAATATCCCTCACTGAGTGGTCTTCCCTGGGACCCCGAATGAGGAAAGCCGGCTCCAGCCCCGGACCGGGCAGGATGACTAGCATGTGGGCCGACTCCAGCTGTCTGAATCCCGTCACCGACGGAGTAGCCTGCAGAAAATTACTTCACTTCTTTCGGCTTGGCTAAGTTATTTTTGACGTGAGGAAGGCAGGAAACCTACCTCATGGCCCACGGTGTTGGAAGAGATAATGCTCGGGCCCACTTGGAGCAGCCCCTGGACCAGCGAAGAATCAAGACCTTCCCCTAATATCACCACCAGCCCACCCTCAGGTGCCCACCGCAGATGCCCACCGCAGGCCTGGCTGCTCATTTGTCCCTGCCATCCTGCACTTTGGAAGGGGGCCATTCAGACAGGAACCTAGGACGTTGTTCATGACGAGGCAGGGCCCCAGGGGCGTCTGAGAGGGAGTGAGGGCCTCTGTGCCATACCCCGTGCTCAGCAGGAAATTCGAGGGGAAGACAGCGAATGCGCCTGTCAGCAGCAGTGGGCCCTGGGGCGGGCTGCCTGCTGGCCGCACGGTCCGATTCACACTCACATCTTACTGCGCTTCTCATCGTAGGACAGGATCTGGGTGACGTCCCAGTCCCCGGAGGTGATGGACTGTATGTTGTCGTTGCTGCTGTTGGGCTGAACAGACACACATGGAGGCATGGCGGGCGGGCCTGTCGCCTGCTGAGACCCCGTCCTTCCGCGAAGCCAGTCGCCCACCCCAGCCCTGCCCTTCCTTGAGGCCCGGCCACCCTATTGATCCCCCGGCTCCAGCAACCCCCGCCGCCCCTCTGGCCCAGCCTGCTCCTGCTCTGAACGTCAGCAGTGGCGGGGCCGGTGGGGCCCATGTGGTGGCACTGATGCACTAGAACTGTGACCACCAGTGACTCCACCTGAGACGTGAGCTCCTAAGAATCAAAGCTTCAAATGCTGTTGACATTGTCCCTTTAAAATCTGTAAGTGATTGGTAGAGACCAGGAGGAGGAAAGAGAAGCAGGGGAGGGGGTGAAACAGGGCAGGAAATAGAGGAGAAAGAATGAAGGGCTGGGCGGAAGAGGCCCTGGCATTCTCTGCAGGACCGTTTGTTCTTGAGGGCCACACCGTCTCTCCTGAAGGGCCTTCAGAGCAGAGCAGTTATGACAAGGAAGGAGGGAGAGGTGAGACCTCGACAGGAAGCGTGTGATCTGGAACAGGCATGGAGGTGCCCGGGTGTGAGCCACAGGGCCGGCTGCCGTGGGTGGCGGTGCCCCAGGAGGCAGGTGTGAATCAGACTGTGATTCAGACTGTGATTAAATCGGACAATGGCCCCCCCCAGACACTGTGGGCCCCAAGGGGCCCACAGAACTGGAAACACTGGGAGAAGGCAGAGCCCCTGGGAGAACTGGGGTGCTAAGTGGATTCTGGGGGCAGCGGGGCTGAGGGGCTCCTGGGTGGGGGTGCCCTCCCAGGTCAGGGTTGGGGGGCATGTCCTTGCTGCCGGAACAGGGGACTCAGCAAATGCTTCTCATAGGGTTGAATTCAGAGACAGCTGAGTGAGAACATCTAAACATTTACAAATCTTGGTTAAAGGGATTCTAAAATGAGAAAACAAGGGGGTCTGGGCAACGGAACGGAGGCCACAGGGATAAACACACACGTCAGCCAGTCCGCAGACATTGTGTAGTTGTGTAATTAAGTGAACTGAAGACTGACACATCCGTCCCTGAGCCTCCGAGTGAGCCACGCCCCTGCCCCTGCCTAGGAGCCGCCCTCAGGCAGGCATCTGCCCACACTGCCCTTGGGCCGTATCATAAATACATGCCTGTTATCTTATGCCCATGGAGCATTTTGGATAACTTTTTAAAAAATCGAATTTTATTTATCTCCCCTGATCCTAGATAATCTCAGACTGCTTCAAAAACAGAATCCACCCAGGGAGGTGAGGGTCTGGTCATGGGAGTGCCACACCCCTCTCCACCTTCTTTCTGAGGGCGGAGTTCCCACAGGTTCAGCTCTGGGGTGGCGTCCTCAAGCAGGTGGGCGGCTGCCTGGTGACCACTGTGCAGGACGGTGCTCAACAGGATGTCTGCTTTGGGCTCTGATTTGCGTTTATCAGGCTCTGAAGCTCCCTGCTCAGGGATGCTGTGCTTGTAACTCACCAGACCCAGGAATTGAGGGTGACAGGTGGTGGCCACAGAGGCTGGGGGAACACCTGAGACTGGCTACAAGGGGAGGGGGTGGCCTTGGGGACTGGACCAGGGGGGAGCCATGTGCACAGGCTCTTGGCCTCTGGGAGAGAGCATAAGGGGCGTCCCAGCTCGTGGGGAGGAAAGGCCGAGGGTGCAGGATCTTCACAAAAGAGTTGATGCAAGTCTTCACTCTCATACCAAGAGTGGGTCCCAGTGTCCCCCCGACGCCCCAGCACAGTCAGAAGCATTGATTTTATTTTGGGTTATAATTTAAAGGGCAAACGTGACCTACTACCCCGATCAGCACCCTGGGACTTTAACAATAATGCATTCTGCCCCACCTTGCAGGACCTGTCTCCCCATCTAAGTGTCCCCAGCCGGCTCTGGGGATCTTCACGGTGACAGGTGCACAGAGTGCTCAGCCACTAGGGGGCATCACCAACACAGCAAACACAGCCTGGGAGACAGGATTTACCTGGGACGAGGACACGGTGATGTGATAGAATTTCCCTTGTCCTCCCTGTGGGATCGCTCTGATGAAGAAGAACTTCCGGCCATCCTTGGAGAACACTGGTTCTTCATTCTGTGGACAGAAGCAATGGACAGAGTCTATTAAAAGGCTCAATTTTGTTTGGAAGAGCGGAAACGGATAAAACACAACTAGAGCTGCATTTTCTAAGTGATCTGTAATGAGAGACGTGGTTGAAAGGGCAAACACGGTGTGGGGCCTTTTCCCCTGGAAATCATGCGCCACACCTTCAGTTTTCTAAGGCAGGAGGAGGAGGAATTCGGAGGCGACAGCCTGAGCAAAGGCAGGTAAAGGGCGCCGCGTGGTTTGTAAGGCACCACTGCCGAGAGGGGGCTTCATGGACAAGACCCCAGAATGGACAGGACTCAGGTCTTGGAGAACAAGGGCTAGAGCTTGCCCCGGGACTGTGGCCCATCAGAACTGGAGTGCACTGCAAAATCTCCCCTGGGGCGTTATTATCTACTGTGCTGAACGTGATTCTGAGCAACCCAAGCCTGAGTTTGCCAAAAAATGGATTCTGTTCTTTCACTCCTGCTTCCTGTTTAATAAAATCCATCTCACACAGAATATCCCACTGAGGAGGTAAATAGACAGCAAGAGAAACTGTGAACAAAGATGAATGTGCTACACTTTAAGATGCAGGTGAGAGCGAACAGTCCTCCTGGGGCCTCCCTGCTTCGTGCATCGCGTTAGCCAGAGAAGGTGCCACACAGTCTGCTCGCTGGCACGTGTTCACGTGGATCTACTGTCACCTTTCCCTGAAAATGGAATCAGCATTCCCAGCTGGTCCTGGGGGAGGGAATTCCAGGCTGGCTTCAGAAACAAGGGGGAAGCGCGTTGCCACCATCTCTGCCCGGCCCCCAAAGGCCGAGCTGTCACAGCTCAGCCCCTGCCAGCCCCGGGCAGGCTGGCTGTCACCTGGGTGGGCGACAGGGATTTTGCTGCAGCAGCAGATGAGTTTGAAAGTGTCCATCCGCAAACACCGATCAGTGAGCCACGACACGTATTTTCTGATTCAAGGAGCCCCACGCTAAGGCAGGGATGAGTGCAAAACGGCAAATAAACCCCAGCTGGCATGAGGAACACTCATTTCCCTGTGGTGAACAGATACATGCAAATGCAATACGCCCGGAGAAATCAAACCCACACGTGACATTTAATCTTCATGAATATTTGCAATAAAATGAAACCTTTAATCTGCAAATATTTATTTTTCTATTTAGACTTAGAAGCATGGTATTTAAAAGTAGAGAAAATGGAAAAACTAGCAGTGAATTTGGCTTTTTAAATGGACTTCTGTTTGCCAACCGCAAGCTGGACGTTGCAATATCAGTTGTCTGGGGAAATGTTTGCCCTTCTGGCAGAAGAGAATACTCTGAATAGATGTAAGAAATAATGAATTCTGTCCAGAAGCATTGTTTTTACACTGAGAAGGCCTCAATCATTTTAACGTCACCTTCGTATTGGTTGGAGTAACGTTCTGTGGTGGGCAGTGAAGGAACCCTCTCTGAGACCTGCTTTCTCATGCAGTGAATGTGTTTTTCGTGAGAAAGTCCAGTGACTTGAGTAGGGGACTGGATTCTAATTCTGGGGTTGCCTCTCATGGTTTTGGGGGAACACATCTGGCCTCTGGGGAGCAGGGAATTTGTCACATGCTGGCTGGTTTCCTGGTCCCCATCACAGCATATTTACGAAGAAGGAGCCTTTCTGCGGGTGAGAAATGAAGGGCCAGCTACCGCAGTTTCCCTGCCAGGTCTTCTCATGGTTCAGAGGCACGTCTTGTCCGCGATCCCCCAGCCTGAAATCTGAATCACAAAACCAAAACTCTAGCAGAAGACTGTTAGAAATTGACTACAGGAAATTCTTCAACCCAGATGACAGGTTCCAGGGCTCTACCCCAAGTGGCACTGGTGCTGGGGTAGGGCCCCAGGAGGTGTGCTGCAAGGTCGTGGCAGCAGGGATGGTGTGGGTGGGGGGTGGGGGGGTTGCCTATCTCCCTGGAGTACTCCTGGGGAGAGGGAACGTCCTGCATCTCTGCCCGTGGGGTGCACTACATGCCCGTGGCTTCTTGTTGGCTCAAGGGACCCTCTGTGAGGCCTTGGAGGGAGATGGTAGCTCGGATAGAGGCCCCAGGATCGTGAGAGCTCACCCATTGCCCTGGCAACAAGGAATCAGGAGATGGGTTGCTCTAAGCAGAAGGGTCTCCCCGGGGTGCGTACGATGTTCCAGGCCCTGGTCTTCTCCTCGCATGACACTGTGCCCCACTGTGTGGGGCAGGTAACTGTGATCCCATTGCAGTGGACGGGCCTGAAGTCAGAGCTTCGCTGGCAGCAGACAGCAGGTCAGCCTTAAGTAAATTTGTAACTCTCCCTTCAGAACCTCGTGACATCTTGAAGGATATGACAACACTACAGATTATTTTTGAAAAATAGAGCCCATTAGTTCCTTTATGAAAAATCCCTTCTAAGAGAAAGTCATAAGAAACTTGCAATTGGATTTTCCTACTGACCACGGCGCTGAGTGTGCCCATAGGAAACAGATGTGCTGAGTGGTGCTCAGAGGGATCAGGGCCTCCCTGTCCTGGGGATGCTGCACCTGCCTGGGAGGCGTGGCGGCCGGGAGCTGGGGCTGCATGCCCGAGAGGAATCGGTCCCCTTACGGGACAGTCCTTCTGTCCTAAACTCAAGACGCATTTGCCAGTGGCTACTTTGAAAATGCTAGATGTTTGATTAGGAAATGCTTTAAAGTTTACATTTTAAAAGCAGAAGAATTTTACTTTATGCTCCTTTTTAAGTGTTGACTTGATTTTGCTTGGAAAGATCTAGTTTCCCAAATCTCACCCAGGCTGTCTGTTCAGTGGGTGGCTGGTGTTCTTAAGTGGCAATGAGATGTGTGGTTGATAAACACAGGAAAATCCTGGCCCGAGGGAGGTGGGCAGAGGAGGACAGCCCTGCGGCCCCTGAACCACAGGCGGGCAGTCAGGCTGCTGGGCTTTAATATGGACACCCCAGTGGGAAGGCTGGGAGGCAGGAGTGGGTCCCTCGGACCCCAGCTTTCCAAAGCCTGTGTGCCCATAAAGAAACAAACTGCTGGCACCTTTCATAAGGCCTCTGTGCCTCCTCCCACCCAGATACAAACTGCAGTGGGGCCCAGGCCTAGCACTGCCCCCTCAACGCTGTTCCCTGCTCCCAGCCCCTCCAACAGTGGAACTTAACACCTCCTGAGCATACTTTGGGATTGCTTCTCTCAGACTGTGGAATTCACATGCTCTGTCATCTTCTTCCTGCACTGTAACCTCTTTGAGAGCTGCTATTCCAGCTGACTCATTTAAAAAAATTTACTGAGGCCAATTTCACTTGGCACGATGTTCTCAGCAACACTACTTACAATCACCAAAAGGTGGAAACAAGCCCCACGTCTATCTGCAGATAAGCAGATGTGGTGCATACATATGATGGAATGATTCACTTTTGAAATTCACAAAGCCTAGTACGGTGCCTGGCATAACCCATAAGTGCTGAACAGATGGCTGTGCAGATAATGGATCGTTTTCCGGTACTTTCATTTCAGTCCCAGACATTCTGTCTGATATAAAGGGAACATCCCGACATGACTTTTGGTATCTGTGCTTATACTGTTGGTCCAGGTGGAGGAACTTCTCAGCATAAATCCAGCGTAATGCCAGCTAATATTTTGGGGTTTTCACATACTCTTTCATTCTCGGTATCTTCTTAGCATGGACTTGGCACTCAAATTTGGACACAGGATCACAAAAGTGGGCATCTGGGTCACCCCTCTTTTGGATGCGATTTGTGTAGGGCAGGAAAATCTTTTTCATATTTAAAAGCAGTTGTGTCCATTAATGAGGCCACCAGGCCTGAGATAATCGACGGAAGGCTGGACAGACCGCTAATTCCACAGATGAAAGAGTGCACACCAGGTGCTTGCTGGAATGTTCATGTGGAGCCGGCATGGACAGCTGTGTCGTCCGGCTTTGGTTGTTTTCATAAATGGGATCTAGCGCCTCCATAAAGGAGAGTACCTACACCCTTGCCACCATAGTCCTTGAGTCAGATCTGGTTTGATTTTTCCCACAGATTTTCAGACAATTTTTATCCCATTGGGTTGGCTAAGAAGAAAATAAACTTCCAGAATGTTCTCTCCCGGTCTTCCTGATGTCAAGATGTGGAATGAAACAAAAGTAACAAAGACAGGAAATCCAAGTGCCAGTAGTTTCTTTGTGGATGTTTAATTTTTTCTGTCATAGACTGAGTTCCGTGGGCCTCCTCCGCTCTCTGCTCTCCAGTCCCTAGAGTGCTCCGACTGCAGGTCTTGCTGGATGGGAACGAGGGCAGCTTTGCCGTCAGGGCCCCAGGAAGGCTCACGTGGAACCACAGCAAAGCCTGCCTCCAAGGAGACACCACGAAACCACACTGAGGAAAACAGGAATATGGGCCACGTTTCTGTTACACAGTAGGTTGCACGTAGGTGATTTTTTGGACTCGTCATTTTAATTCACCAAAAGGATGTCATCTCACTGAGAACTGAGACGTCAACAAATACAGGATGTTCTCAAGAGCAGTGATTTTCCTACCACCTTCCAGGGGCTCTGTGGTTCCCCAGGAGTGCTCAAGGGCCCGGAGGAGCAAGGCAGAAGGGCCAACGGTGCCCCACCACCGAGCCACACCCGTGTGTCTGTGCGGGTCTCTGGCAGGACCGAACGTGAGAAGCTGCTTTGCTATTGTGAAAACTTGGAAAGCCACTGCAGCGGTGGGTCGGGGCTGGGAAGGCGGGGAATGTGGGGTCGTTACCTGCCGGTGGAGCCAGGCTTCACTTTCATCCTCATGTTTCTGCAATGAAATAAGAGCATTAGAGGGAGGACTTCTCACATTTATTATGTGTGTGACCAGCAGTGCAGAAACAATTTGATTCCCCTGCATGGTGGCTGCACAAGTACAGACAGTGTGTGGCCACTAGGGACATGCCATCCCCGCTCTTCACTTTGTCTGGTATTGTGGCTCAGAGCCAAACACACATGTCCCTGAACAAGAAAAATGTCACTGTCTCCAGCAATGAAGACAAATCCATGGTGGCTAGGAATCCTTTGGAAGAGGGGCTTCTCCAGCAGATGCTCACCACTGACCTCACCTGTGCCCATTTATAGGCAAATCCAGGTGCTATGTTGTTTTAGGAATTTGCGTGTGTGTATGTGCTGACATGTGCTCACAACTCTGAGCAGCACCCTGACAGACCAAACAATAGAAGGACATAAAACATACATGAAAAGCCCGTCTCAGCATTGTACAGGAAGACGTACACCAGAAGACAGAACAGAACCGACACACCCCGAGGCAGGGCAACTGGGAGCACGTCCTCCGGGGGCAGGGGCCGCCCCTGGCGCCGGCCTGGCCTCCGGACACCCAGGGATGCCTTCTCTGGGGGCTGCCAGGAAGCAGGTCCCTGCTGACATGCACAGGGTCAGGGGCACGGGTGACGGAAGAGAGGGAGGACAGACAGTCCCTGCTTCCAGCTGTGGGTGACTCTTTCCTGGCTCCCCTCGAGCAAGCCCATCAGAGTAACCCGGAATCTGCTCTAAATCATTAAAAAATATAGCAACCACTGGCCTGCTTGAGGAGATGACTCTCGGGAACAGGTCACCTCCACTCACCTCAGAACCATACCCTGCAGCTCGTTAGGGCCCTGTCACTGCAAAGCTGCTTTGCAAGCCTTTTTCCTTTTTGTTCAGGAAATAAAAATTTAGGGCCAAAGAGTTTCTGAAAGATGATTTTTTTGCCCAGCACTAGGGGCCCTGCCTCACAGGGCTGGACCGGGAAGGATGGACGCGCGGGGCAGTGGGGCGAGGGCCGCTCCCTGGCTGGGCACGGCTGACCAGGCACCGCCAACTTCCGCTCTTTCCTTCCTCCCTCCGCGCACCACGTTATCTTGCCCGCTCCGCTTCTGCCTCCTCTAACAGCGATGACGTCAGCCCGAATCCCCCAGGGACCTTCTGTGATGGGCGTGACGCGGGCGGGGGCCCACCCGCTCTGGGCGGGGGACACAGCCAGGAGCAGAGCTGGCTCTGCCCAGGTCCTGGGCCTCGGGCCGCCCCCCGTCTCTGCATGTCAGCTGGGGGGTGAGCACGCTCCTTCGCGACGTGGGAGCTGCACTTGGGTGAAGGCGGAGCGCGTTCAGGCGGCGCTGGCCTGGTTTGCCTGGAGCGCTGGGCCCCCGGCCCCGAGTCCCGCGGCAGTACCGCACTCACCCACCAGGGGGCACCAGAGCGGAGACCTGGACCAGCACGGGGCCCAGCGGCTTCCCGGCCAGGCCCCAGGCAGGGTTCAGGGACCTCCTGCCGCCCGTGCTTCCCGCCGTCGGACCCCGCACGCCCCCGTACCTTGGTGCAGACGCCCGTGGTGGCATCGCAGAGGGTGAGGATGGACACGTTCTGCGCCCGGCTCAGCCAGTTCACGGCCACCTTGGTGCTGGTCGCCCACTTCACCATCGTGATGTAGTACTCCCTGGAACACGCAGGCACTGGGGATTAGCCGCGGGCACCAGGGACGGCAGGCCCCAGCCCCGGACTCGGGGACGGACACCCCCGTGACGCTCGCAAAGGGCTCCTCAGGAAGGCGCCCGGATAACGGGCTCCGACGGGGTGCCGGGCCACCCACCGGCAGAAACAAGACGGGCAGGAGTGTGTCTCTGAGCTGTTCCCTCAAGACTGGGACACAAAGCGTGTGTGCCTGGGGCCCAGCCGTCCCGTCCCCCGCAGAGTGATGGGCTCGGGTCTGTAAGCCGTGCTGTGGTTGCGCTGTCCTACTGCCCTATTTTCATGCCACAGCCCAGGGCAAATGCACTTCACGTTGCTGGAAGCAGTGAGGGGGTCACATGGAGGCCGACAGCGCAAGAATCAGGAAGGTTGTAGAGAGCACGGCACTTGGGGGGAGTTAAAGGCCAAGAGCATCACCCCGGGCAGAGCTGAGCGAGGCTCTGCTTGCCTTTCCCCTCTTCTGTCAGGACGAAATACCCAGGACGTTCTGTAGCTCATTAGGGAAACTGGTTCATGGCTGCGGGCATCAGGCCGACCAGGTTTGATCTCCTGGACGGCGCATGCCTGCTTGTACCCAAACCTGAAATACCACAGTGTTCTGGGTGGCTAACTTGGCACAAGGGGGTACTGAGGCCTCCGGTAATTAATTCCATTACCCACAGCCTCCAAAAATGGAATTTTAGGGAAAAAAAATTAGGAAGAAGGAAATGTCAAGAAAATAAGTACACAGGAGTAGCATGCTCAGGTGAACCCCAAGAGTGTCCTAGAGGCAACCCTGGCTCACCAGCTACCTGTCTATATCTATGATGAGACGAGTTGTTCAGAATGATTACTTTGTGGTCTTCCAAAGACCCTTTATCACTGAAGACCACGGCACATTCTCTGGACAATTCCTAGCAAGCCGGAAAGGGACCTCAGTGCAGTTAGCAGTGATTTGCAACAGAATTTCCTAAATAACCAGGTTATTTGAACTAGGCTTCAGTTAACCAGGAGGGTCGACTGCTGTATCCCCTATTTCTAATATCTACCCATCAATCAGTTTTTAATGACTGAACCTAAGTCGAGAGCACGCGGCACGCAGGCTGGTGAGGGCCTCTGACTCAGGCCCTCACCTGCCATGCAGCCGGGAGGGCAGACCCCACGACTGCGCTTCGATGTCTTGGCGAAGCTATGGAGGACGTGGGTGGTGAGGATGTCATTCGGACATAATCCAGCTTTTATGGTTTTCCACCTTCTCAATTACTGCGATTTTGGCAATATGGCTGTTTGTGTTCACACCATCTGCTCTGCAAGCCCACAGGCCCTGGGGAATCTGGGCTGGGTACCTCCAGGATCTGCTTTCTCACCCTGGAAGGCAGCACGTCCTCCCAGCAGCCTTACTGTGGGTCCCTCTGCCCGAAGGCTTGCAGCGGCATTTATAGTGGTGGGTTTGATCACTTCCTGAATATTTGTAGGCAGAAAAACTCTCAGTTTGGGTCCTTAAAAATAACAGCAGGCTGTGCCCAGCCCTTGCTTCACATGTAACACTTTTTATTTTTAAATTATATCATGAATGGTCTCTGGGCCCTGCTGGACAGGCATTGAGGACAGATGGGCAGCTTGAGGGTCTGTGGGGATGGACACAGCCGACCTGTCTGCTCAGGCCAGGGGCCTGTCTGGCGTGGGCATTCATGCAGTCTGCAGCGTGTGACATCACAGCCACAAGCTGCTCTCACTCTACCAGCGAACATATGTCACCTGGACGAAACCAAGGGAAACATGTCAGGTCTGGAATGACCATATCCTGGGGCCTCTGAACGAATTTGGGAGGATCCTGTTTTCATCTCCAATTTGTTGGACACAGTCATTCATCCTGTAACTCTTCCTAGTTTTTATGGTGCTCTTTTGTACAATCTTCATATTGGTGAAATATGAAAGAAAATTATTCCGACCCTGGTCAAAGAGCAGGAAGGTAGATTTTCCCCAAGACCATCACAACAGTGTGGGGCTGCTCAGAGCGGTGTCACAGCGGGAGAGAGACTGACCTCAACTCCGAATATGACAAGGTCAAGTGGGGATTTACAGCCGAGGAGCGGGTGGGTTGGTGGGGTGGAAATGACCCGGAGGAGATGGAGACACCAGAGAGGGTGGGCTTCCGGCTAAACCCACCTAACAGGATTCTGGCTGCAGGTGCGCTGGGGTGACCCATGTCACCTGGGGAATGGTGGTGTTGAGAAACTGATCAGATATCCAGGGTGGGGATCCCAGTGGAGCTGACTTGGTGGGTGCTTGCTTCAGCGGAGTGATGCGGCCATGCGCACCGAGGCCACGTGTCACAGCCTCCCTGGGAATCGGGGCCTGACTACAGTTTGGTTGGAGGGAGTGACAACAAGCTATTCTCAATGTCTCCATTTCCTAACTGGGTACGGGAAACATTATAACTGGAAATAAATGGATGAATGCAAACCTTCTTTTTTTGGTAACAAACCCCTCAGTAATGCCTTTGGAACAATTCACACAAGAACCACATAAACTGTGTGCTGGTGGGCAGCAGGGGGATGGGCTGGGCGGCACAAGACTGTGGGGCCTATGCAACCGTTCAGTGTTCGTGTTGGAAGTCCTCGGCCAGGAACGCGGGAGTGCAGGGGCCAGCCTCTCGCGGGGCCAGAGGGCAGCCAGGACACCGGTCTGGGAAGGGCAGCCCCACACCATTGAGGGCGAGCGACAATCTGCGTCTCTCCTTTTTTTATGCCTCCCTAAATTGTAATATGAGGCATGTTATACAAAGGAAAAAAAAATGATCGCACTACAAATTAGGGCAGTTACACGCGGATCCACTTTCTGGGATTCTGCGGGGCCTGGCTGGGTGGGGCCCGTGGGTGACGGGGCAGACACAGCTCCCCGGGGGGCACTGAGCTTGGTGCCACAGCTCGTTTTCTATGAAACTCAGGTCCCTCATTTACAGGGAGCCTGAATCCCTTATTTTACTTAGAACCTGTGATATAAATTAAAAGAGCGAATGGAAAACTTCAGAAATTTTAGAAATAATAGTGAGGAATATATTTTAAAACTCTTGAAACAATAAGAATCACCAAGGACTTTGTGAAGGTCACGTAATGCCTCTGCGCACGTAATCGGTGCCTCTTCATAGTCAGGCGGCCCCAGATCGCCGCGGCCCATCAAACACTTGGGGAACTTCCTCCAAGCCCCTTCAGAATTCACATTGTCGCAGGACTTGTGAGTGACCCCACATCTCAACATGTCCTGGTTCCATGAACTGCACCAGTGGCCAGGCTTGACACCAAATGTTTTGGTTGTTCAAAAAAAAAATCAAGTCAACTTGCAAAGGCAAAGCTCTGCCGAGAATGGGGCACCTGAAAAGGCGAGCTGGCTGCCTGGGTGTGGGGTGTGCAGCTCCACACAGAAGGGGCACTGCGGGCGGGACACTGGGCTCGCTCGGGAAGGCCCTGTAGTCATACCTGATGGCCACGGCAAGGAAAAATAACTATCACTCTGCTTCGTGAGGCCTTCCCTACGCAGAAACCCGTATGTAGAATAAGAAAAGTTCCAGTTCCTAATGTATTTTCTATTTCTCCTGATTTCAAGGCCCTTAGGTAGTGGTTATATGCAGGGCAGAAGGGGGAGACGCTGGCCGTAAGGCTAGTGCCAAGGGCCAAAGCCGTGCCCGCACCCCGTTACTGTTGACGACACGGGGAGGCTGCGTTTGGTTGTCCCACAGGGCACGTGCACGTGGCCAGAGCTAGTGTAGATGCCACAAACATGGGAGTTCCTGCACAGCCGTGCCTGGCTAGCGAAGGAGGCAGCCTTTGCCCACCTGGGGCTAATGTGCCTATAAAGACACAAAGAAGAGGCCAAGTGACATGAAAGTCCCCAGCTGTCACACAGAGGGAGGCGGGTGGAACCGAGCGGTGGGCTGCCCAGCTGGGCTTCGCCATGTGGGACGAGCCATGGGCGAGCAGGAGGAAGATGTTTTCTCTTCCCCATCTCATCCCCGTCACAAACACTGGGCTTGTGCCAGCCAGACGTCTGGGGAGACAAACCTTTACCACCTTGGTGCTACAGAAGAGCGTAAGTTGTCATGGACACCCACTGACTTAGAATGTCACAAAAAAAATTCTAAAGGAAGCAGAAAACCTCAACTTAGCTGCACAGAGGTTGCACCCAATGGATGTGCGTCAGGCTGCCTTCCTGACCCCACGTCCTCCGTGAAGGCTGCCATCACCTTTCCTTCCTTTAAGCTTTTCCAGCAACTACCATTCATGCTGTCCTGTTTCAAATCATTGCACATTACCAATTCTTTACAATCCCAAGTTAGCAGGGCGGGAGCTGCAAGAGGCAAAGGGCTATGGGCATGCCTCTCACCAGCCGAGACCAGGACCAAGGCGTGGGTCCCTACAGAAGAAATGCATGCAGTTCTTAAGGGCTGAGTAACTCCCTCTCAATGCGGGAAGGGGAAGCGCTGGCGGGAGGGAGCGCCCAGAGGGACATTATAAGGAGGAACTCAGCCCCGAGGAAGGAGCCGTCATCAGAGCTCGCCACACTGCTGGAGGGGAGATTGCCAAGAGAGGCTGAGCAGAGAGACTGCAAGCCCAGGGAGCTTCCCATCAGCACTGTGGCTGGCAGACTCGGGCCCAAGGGCTGGCTGTGGGGCGGGCCAGTGCGTAGGACTGCTCACAGTCTGTGGGGAGACACACAAACAAACCACTGATTCTGGTGCAGGCTGAGGAATGAGCTAACAGTAGGATGCAGGGTCCATGTGGAGCATGTGGGAGGCACGTTTGTTGAGAAGCACAGCTGGGCTGAGAAAATATTACAACCTTCCCCCAACCTCCAGCCAAAGAAGCCTCCAAACCAAAACACAGTGGCTTTTCCTGGTGAGCAGCGTATGAATTTTTCATTAGTCCATTTGTTTGCTATAAAATATTAATCGAGCATCATCTCTCTTACAGGGATCAGCGTGCCGTGTCGCTTCTCGGTGTTCCAA